CACCCCGGTGACGTGGCACCAGCTGACACACTGGGAGGAGTGCCGTAGCTGGGACGGCTTCGAGGCCGCGCCCTTCACAGTCGCGGGTGCGGCCTCAGTTGCGACAACCCCCCCCCCATCCACAAAGCGCTGAGGGCACTGCGGCCCCTCCAACCCCTTCGCTTCTGTTCTTCGGAATGCTGGTTCGGCACTGCACGCCTCTCCTGACCTCCGCCTCGCTCTGTAAGGGCACGTCGTCCGCCGCCTTGCCTGCACCCCTTGACTTTGGGTTGGACCGAGTGCTCAATGGCTCCGCACCCCCCGTTCGCAGGCGGCGGTGTCGTCACCTTTGACCACCCGTGCGACTACTTCACCGCCGGCAAGGTCAAGGCCTGCACCCTCTCGCTGAGCGTGCTCGTCGCCATCGAGGTGCGCGCTCGCTTGCGCGCTCGCAGGCGGCCGCGCCTGCTCCTTTTGAGGACCGCCGCTGGCCCGGCTTGTGCACCAGCCCTCGCACCGACGATCCGCCTCGACTTTACTATTATTTTTTTCCCTTTTGAGCCACACATCCACACACACTCACACAGACACACAACACGCACATCACATGCACACACACACTTACACACACACACACACACACACACTCGTTCTCCGCCCCCCCTTTGCCACCCCCCCAGATGTTCAACGCCTTCAATGCTCTGTCTGAGGACAACTCACTGCTGACCCTGCCGCCCTGGAGCAACCCCTGGCTCTCGGTGGCCACTGCCGTGTCCCTCGGCCTGCACTGCCTCATCCTGTGAGAAGAGCGCCCCGCATGCACACGCGCGCGCACATGCGCGCTTGGGGGGGGGGACACACACGCGCACAAGCACACGCACCTGGGCTGCGTCAAGCGGCAGCGCACTCCAGCATGGGGCGGCTGCATGGCGCAGCGCTTGCGTGCACGAAGGTTGGCTGTCGTTGCGGACGCGAGCATTGCTGTGCACGCGCGCACCTGTGCCCACGGCGCCGCGCGCCTTGCACCGCCTCTGCCTTGGGCCCCCTCTGCATCTGCCCCGGGGTCCGCCCGCTCTCGCTGGGCTCCCGCCCCACCATTCATGCCCCCCTCTGTCTCACCCCCTCGCTGGCCCCTCCTCCTGACTCCGCTCTCCCCCCTTCCCCTCGCCTGCCCCCTTACCCACCCATCCAACCACCCCCAACCCCCCAAACCCCCCAACACCTGCAGCTACGTGCCCTTCCTCGCCGACATCTTCTCCATCGTGCCCCTCACACTTCCCGAGTGGGGCCTGGTGATGATCTTCGCGCTACCGGTCATCCTGATTGATGAGATCCTCAAGACACTGGGCCGCCGCTTCTTTGGCGTCAAGCACACGCGGCGCGCGTCCCACGCCGGCGGCGGCGCGGCGAAGCGGCAGAAGGCGGAGTGACGGTTGCGAGGAGCGGGGGCGGGGTGAGGGGCGTGCACACACAGCGCGCCAGCGCGCGCGCGATTTTGGAGGGGCTCGGGGCGGCGGGGAGGCAGCGGGCGGGGAGAATGGGCGCGCCGGGCGCCGAGAGGGGCTGGGCTTGTGGCTCGCGGGGCGGCGGTGGCTCGGGGCGGGGGCAGCCGCAAGATGCTGCCACCGGGTGTCACCCTGTTAGGGGGCGCCTCGCGGCCCGCGAGGGCTGCAGGCTTCTCCTCCGCGCGACCCCTGTGCCGCCGCCCGCTGCGGCGCCTTCTTTGAACGGTGACTTGTGAATTGCTTGTCTTGCCTTGCAACTCGGGAGCTGTTCTGAACCTTGATAAAGCCTGAGCGGTCTCCCTTGTTCATACAGCAGCCACGCTCGCCTGCCGGCCCAACCGCCGCGCGGGCAAGTGGCATCTTGAAAGGCTGTTTGTCTGTCGAGATTCGCGTGGCTCTTCGAACGGCGCGGCGAGCGCACACGTGTTGACGCGTTGTGCGCTGAGCGGCTGCGTGGTGGTGCCTGCGGTCGCAACAGCTGCGTTCTGGCAACCAGGCTGCGTCTGCCCTTGCTTGCCTGCTGCCACACCTGACCTCCTCCTTGTGGGGTTGAGCGCCGATTGACAAGAGGAGTCGCAGAGGGCGAGTGTCAGGTGCGCTGCGGGGTGTGGGCCTACGGCTTAGCTTCAGGGTGAGAAGCAATGTCGACGACAACATAGAGTGGGGCACATGCACCCCCCAGGGTGGTGGGGTTTGGGCGCTTTCCACAGAAGAGGTGAAATTCCTCGTCGCATGAGGTTGGTCAACCTTGGCGGCGCCCATGATTCCAGTGGTGCGCTCTGTTGTGCGGACAGAGCGCACTGTCAGCATGGGGTGGCTTGCCTGCTGAACCCTGTGCAGGACTGCCTGCACGCTACAGTTGAATCAGTGAGAGGCTTAGTAGTGCACGCCGTCGCACCAGCGGCGAACAGTGCGACGGCCGCAGGGTATGGACACGCATGTTGACTGGACAAGTGGTGGGTCAAAGGCCTCATGCCTGCCCACTACAGAGGCCCGCCTCGGCCGCTGCACGAATTTAAGTTGGAATCCAAGTGCACAGGCGCGGCTCATGTTGGTGCGGCGCACAATGGGTGATCAGGACACCTCGGTGACAGGCAGCATCACCAGATCTGGATGCTCAGTGGTGTTCTCTGCGATTGAACAGCGACTTTGCACTTGAATTCACCGTCCGAAGATTCACAGGCGCAGAGACACCCCTCGTACCCTGACACACGGAGTGTGTCGCGGCCTCTCCATCTCCCCGAGCACAGTGTGCGCTCGCAGCCTCTCGCACTCACTTTGAGTTGAAGCCGTTGCGTTATTAGACAAGTGCTGCGGCCTGCTGAGCTGCTGCGTGCAACAGGCTTCGTCTCAGTCTTGCCCTTTTCGCACAGCGCGGGCGCCCGTCTTTCAGCGGGCTCAAATGCAGGCGCACGCGAGTGGTCGGACGATTGCTCGCTGCGCCCGCACCAGTGGTTGCCCGGCGCCCCAGCATGCTGTGGTATCGTGCCCAGCGCGCCGCCGCTGCCGCGCCGCGCCGCTACGGCCGCGCGCGCTCGCCCCAGACGGCGGCGACGGCGGCGGCGCGGCCAAGGGTCGCCAGCAGCAGCAGCAGGGCCTGTACCGGCTCCTCAAGGGCGGCCCGCAGCGCGCCGGCGCAGAACATGGGGAGGTGCGCCACGGTGCTTGGGCCCTCATGAAGTTTGTATCATCGGGGTTCTTGCGCGGGCGCGGCGCTCTCCTTGTGACGTCCAGCACATGTGCCGTACGCAATGCCCCAGCGCGCGCAGCGTTTCGCCGCCGCCGCCACGCGGCGCCCTCCTCCCCGCCGCTGCTCCCTCTCACACCTGCACACGCCCCTGCGCGCCGCGGCGCCCCGGCAGGGCTTCGTGCACCTGCTGCCCGCGGGCGGCGTGATGCGCGTGGACGTGGATGCGATGAACGAGAGCCTGCGCACGCACGGCGCTCTGCGGCTGCGCCACGCGATGCGGCCGGACGAGGCCTTTGGGATGGTGCTCAACTTTGACGGTGGGCGGCGCGGGGCTGTTGGCGCGCTGGTGGCCCGGGGCTGGGGGGCGGCGCGTGGGTGGGTTGCGGTTGTTGTGAGGGTGACAGCACCGGCCGGTGCAGCATGATGGCGCATGGCGTGGGCGTTTGCCAATGTATGATGTCACTGCTTTGGAGCCCACGCTTTGCTACTGTTCGCTATCGCCCATCCGCAGGGCGCGCGCGCACACACACACACACACACACACACAAACACTCACACACACACACACACACACACACGCACTTACACACACACACCGTACTCCCCCTCCAAAGGCGTCGTCGCCGACATGAACGCCGTCCGCGCCGCCGCCTGGCGGGCCCTGGCCGCCTCTCGGGACCTCCCCCTCAACGAGGGCCGCCTGCGCCACCCCGAGCTGCACGCCATGCCGCCAGAGGTGGCGGCGGTGCGCATGCTGCGCTGGGCAGACTCACTGAAGGACGGCAGGTGGGGCGCGGTTTGTTTCTTGCTGCCTTCGTTGCCGCGCCGCCGCGGGCCGCACATCACGCTGCCAGGCCGGCACCCCCCCACGGGGCGGGGGGTTCGCCCTGCCCATGCTGGCATGGGCTTTTCTGCCTCGGTGGGGCGTTTTAGTGCGCTGATGTCACTGCTGAGCGGGTTGGGGTCGTTTCGAGCAAGGCGTTGTGGACGCGGCACTGCGTGTACGATGGCCATGGCTCTCCAGTGCCGGGCTGTCGAAGGGTATGTGCCAGATCACTCTGGGCCGATCTTAACGGCTGCGGCAGACGCCCCGGCGGGCCTCGATCCTTCGCCCCCGGGTGCCGGATGAGAGCCGCGGCAACCTGTTGGCCCCACATCTCTGTTGGCATCACTCAGCCGCGCCTATACGCCACACCTCGACCACCGCTGTTGGACCAACTTCATCCCCACTCAATACACACACGTGTGTGCATGTGCTCCCCCCACACAAAAGCATTCCACACACATACCACACACACACACACACGCTTTATGCACAAACACACACACAACACACACATGCATCAGACGCACACATCACACACACACAAAACACACACACACACACTCACACCCACCCACCCACACACACATGCACACGCACACGCACTTGCAAAAAAACCCAGGGAGCTGGCGATGGAGCATGCTGGCCTCGCGGCCCGCGCCCTGGCCGAGCAGGCCACCCCCCGCCCCGGCGTCCGCGAGTGGCTCGACGCCCTCGCGCGCTTCAACGTGCCCTGCGCGCTCGTGTCGTCGCTCGACCGCGCGACCGTGCGCGCGGCGCTGGCGCGGATGACGCTGCACGACCACTTTTCTGCGCTGGTGGGTCTGTGAAGTCGTTACCCAAGGGGCCGGACAAGCCACCCCCGTTTTCCCGATCTTTTTGAGGCACATCTTGCATCTCATCCCGCCCAGCCGGCGTGACGGAAGCCGTGGGGTGTCGTGTCATTCAGATGGGGCGGGCGTGCGGCCGGCCGGGACCAATGTTCCAGGCGTGCGGATGTTGTGGCGTCAGGGGCTGACGGTGTGGGTTTTCGGAGGCCGCCACTCGCAGGGCCAGGGCCTAGACTTATTTGCATATGTTCACGTGAGTGTCTCTGCTGCCGCCGCCAGGTCACCGCCGAGGACGAGTTCGAGACGCTGAGTCAGCGGCTGCTGTCCGCGTCGCTGAAGCTGGCGCGGCCCCCCAACATGTGCGTCGCGGTTGAGTCGACGCCGGAGGGCGTGACGGCGGCGCACAACTGCAGCATGAAGGCCATCGGGGTCCAGGTGGGGTGAAGGGGTGGGGTGCAGGGTGCAGGGGGCGCGCAGGGGGGTTGCAGCAAGTGGTGGGGGTTGCAGGCGCGGGGCTGCATGGCGAAGGGGGGGGGTGCAGGTGCACGGGAGCAGAGAACTCTGGGAAACAGTCAGGGCAATTGTCGGGTCGTTGCAGTGTCTCCGTTTGAATGTTTTCCCTGGGGCCGGTAACGTCGGATGTCTTGAGGGTGGCGCAGGCGGGAGGCGTGGCGCCGCGCAGCCCCCCCACCGCCGCGGCCGGCGCTGGGGTTCGCTGGCGCCGCCCTGCGGCCGAAACTCCTTGCGACATCTGAATCCCCACCGTGGCCCCAGCGCACACTGCGTCGCCACCCTCTTTCCCGCCCCGACCCCCCACAATGGGGGCGACCATCCCCTGACCATTTCTTTCACCCTGCCCTCACACACTAAAGACTCCCCAAAGACTCGCCATCCCCCAACCCCAACCCTCCGCCCCACCCC